ACTAGGGGGGTCATATAGGGGGGGGCCTATAAGGGATGTCCTATAAAGGGGGGTCCTATAGGTCATCTAGTACTGAGAAATGTGAGAAAGGAAGACATTTTGAATATGTAAAAAAAGAATGAAACACTTTATACAAATATAAACTAAATTTTTATTTCACTCTTTGATTGGATGCCCTCCCAATATCGATGCCCATGGCTGTTGCACCCTCTGTCCACACTTCTACGTGTTACTGTGGGGGAGACTTAGTTGCCCCAAAGCTGACTATCTAAATTTCAACCCAACAATATGGCATACATTACACATGCACATACATACAGATAAGTACATAAATGTCCTTTTTTTTAACCTTTCTAAATATAATTTTCTCTTTCTCTTCTTTTGTGAGCCATGTTATTCTTTATATAAAAATCCTCTACAGATTGAATTCCTTTCTTTTGAAAATGCTGAATTCATTTATTCTTAAAGTTCTCAACCTCATCCACAAGAATAACTCCTCCTGCTATAAATTCTGATGACCAACATTAACTATGTCCATTACAACCAAAAAAAAGAAAAGGACATGAATTGGTCTATAGAAGGAGTATCACTGAAGAATAAGAAAGCTGAAAGAAACTTTGTACATTCTCTCTTCTTCAGGACATAGGAGATCATGGCTCTCCACAACATTCTATCTCTTGTAGGCCTTAGAAACATTTGTCCCTTCACCAAGCCTCTTGCATCCTGTTCCACCATCCACAAGCTCATCATGCAAGTAGCCTGCTGCTTTCCCCTATCTCTCTTACCCTCAGTATGCCCTGTGAGGGTTGATTTCTCTAAGCCCAGCTTCCTCATTATGCATCCAATAAATTTCAGTTGTCTCTTATAGATTCTGAAAATAAATGTTTTTTGTTACTCATCAATAGAATTCTCAGTCTCCTTCAGTAGAACTAAATTTCTGTTGCTTCTAGTTTTGCTCTATGGAGAGATTATCCAGCACTCATTGCCATACAAGAGGATTGATATTGCATAACAGCTCAGCACTGTTTTTTTTTGTTTCTAACAAAATTTTCTTGTTTCTTAGTGCTGTTATACTCTGCTGCAATTAGATCTCTTTCTGATTCATTCTGCATACCATCCAAATGTGAATGCCAAGAAGGCAGAACACAAAATAAAAAAAGTTGTTTTCTACACATAGGCTCTGAGAATCAGGGCTGGTCCACAAAGCAAGCCCCAGCAATGAAACCAATACAGTGTCCAATTGCAAACATTCTCTCTGAAAAAGGAGATGGCCCTGAGGACTGACAGATCTGCTTAAAAGCAGGCCCCTCATAACAACTAATGCAATTGCAAGCCGAAAGTTCACCTGCCGATGTGTAGGGTGCTGCACTGTTACCACCATGACAGCTACTCTCAACACAGGTTCCTACTCCTAGGCTTCACTAGTCTCACCTAACTTTTTACACAGAGACCAACTTCAATACTGCCAGGCCAAAGAAGTCAACTGTCATGATTTTTAGCAAATTGTGACTGCGTCCTTGCCCAGGATTGACTAATCTCACCCGATTCTTCACACACAGAATATGGCCAACAATCCAGTTTTGACATTGCCAACTTCCCAATGCTAACCACTACAGGCCTCCCTTGTTGTCACCATTGTGATGCCCACAATGAATTTTCCCACCTTAACATGCAGTTGCCAGCTGAAAGACCACAGTGCACTATTGCCATCATCACCATAACTGCTTCTCTCACTACAACTGTTACCACTGCCAGGTTTCACTAATCTCACCTGACTCTTCACTCAACAATCCAGCCTCAACACCACCAGGCTCCCAATGCCAACCGTCACAACATCATCACCATTCAGCTACAAGACTTCCTTGCCATCACCACTGTGACCACATTTAGTTGATACATTTAGTTGATATCTGGAATCCAACAGAGACCAGCCTCAACACAACTCTAGGTCTTGTTGCCACTGCTGTCACCTCAGCAACTGCTACAGGCATACCTTTGTAGTCACCACCATGACCTCGTTTCATTGATACACCAACTGAAACATTCCACTACAGGCCCACCAGCTACACCTAATCTCTCATCGCCAGCACCATCACCTCAGCAACCAACGCACCCTATCACAAATCAACCTACCACCCTTGAACTCGATTGAGCCCAGCCAATAGCTAAATCCATTCTAGACCTATCCTGTGATCTCAGCTAAACCAATCCCAGAAATCAGTTAACTCATGGCACTACACTTACACATAATCACTTTTCACTGATGATCAACTGCAAATATATCATGTATATTAAATGAATACATACTGTTTAAAAATCTAATCCTTGTTGTTCCTTTCCTTTCGCAACCAAACACTCATTATAACAGTACTTTGCTTAGCTTTTGGAAAACATCTTTTGCTAATCCAATGCATGTTCAGATTTCACATTTCAGTGTCGCATTTTTAACTTCCATTAATACACTTCCCAGATATTTAAACTTTTGTAGTTTGCAAAAAGATACATGTCAAGTCAGTGTGAATTTCAGTGCAGTGTTGATTTCTTTAAAAGAAAAGAACTCAGAGAAACACTAGTATTACTGTGTGGTTTGGGATAATGAATCATTCTGAATCATTATTTTATGACACTGCAAAAAAGTCCGCAGTGATCTATTATTTAGTTTCAATGCATTTTTTCTTCCTTTGATTAAACAATGTGTAATGTGCATTTACATAAAGTCATAACTTTCATGAAAATAAAGAAAAATGCATGCACAAGCAATAAATTTTTAAAAAATGGCTTGGAGGATCTTTTGCATCAGCCTCGTAATAAACAGTTGTTTCCCCATTATTCAATAAACATAGGAGGTTTTTTTTATCCTTAATAAAATGAAAAACTTCAAATTGCACCAAGATCTATCTTGCACATTTACAAATCTACCATTTGTCCATGCATTGAATATTGCAGCCATATCTGTTTTGGTGTTCTCAACAAAATAAAAAGAGTCTGTAATGTCATTGGTCCTGACCTATCATCTCATTGTCAGTCACTTTCCCACCATCATGACATGGCTTCACTCTGTCTTTTTGCATAAATATTTCTATGGCAGTTGTTCTCCTTGGTGTGCCTCAACTGTGCAGGAATTTAAGCGTCATATTGGCAACTAGATCTCATCATTTTACTGTTGAAATAGCAAAAGATGTAAACATAAATTCTATTCTAATAATTTCTTTTCTTGCATTCCTTGCTTGTGGAACTCTTTTCAATCAGGCAGGCTTCAAAGAAAAAGGGTTCTGAAAGCATTATCTTTGTGTATATATTTGATTCTTTTAAAAGATGATATATGCAGCATTACCCTGTATACCCCCTTTGTCATAACTACATGACTTTGTTAAGAAACAATGTAAAAATGACTGGTAGTGGAGAAAGCATAGGTGAAGTTGGCTTCATGTCTTTCTTAAAAATACCACTTTTGTTCTATATATGCATATTTTTATTTTGAATATCCACAGGTACAAAATTTGACAATTTCATTTTTATGAATGTGTACTGGAAAATAACTGGGTCCTTTATCTTTACTACAGACATTGGTGTATATTCTGAATCTACACTTTTTAATGTAATAGAAAATACTATTTACACTGTTTGAACTGTTGTCCTCACATTCACAATCTTATGGCTGTTGTATGCTCCAGCCATCTTCAGGTAATACTTTGTAGAATCAGATTCCTACATTTTTTTTAAATCTTAAATTTTGTGCAAGTTAAACACATAGAGGCTCCCAGCCAAATATAACAACTGATGTATTTTGATTGGTTGTAAAATATTAATTAGGTGGCGTCAACTACGTCCGAAGGTACCGACCCAAATTTTGACCTCTAGTTGACGCCATAAAATGTAAACATGTTTACGAGCCTCCCCACGTGACCAAGAGAACTAATAAAAACGAAACTTCGACGCGACTTGGTCAGTGGGCACTTAAAATATTGAAACCAATTCACTTGACTTCATTGAAATCAACACAGGATACCAAACTTTATCCTCAATACAACAGCAAACTTTGTCAACCATCTCCAGGCTTAACGCTCACTCCCCACAAAATATTCCATTCCACAAGAATCTCTGGTTAATGAGCGATAACAATCAGTGAGTCAAGAACAATACATTTTTTCTATTTAATACACAAAAAACATCTGTTTAATCTTCCTACAAAAACAAATATAGCTAACTAAACCTTGTCATTTTCACACATACAGTACAGTATCTCAAATTCTTTCAGTAACACACACACACCAAAGAACTCTATTGTGTTTATCAACTTTTGCACTATATATTATGTATTTGTTGTGTTTATAAAAAAATATTTATTGTTGAACAAATTCACATTTTCTTCTACTTGATTATTTCTCTTGTTACATTTGATATTGTAAAAATTGTAGAGTGTCAGTTTTTATTTTTATTTATAACCAATACAAATTGGCTGACCCACTATAAATTGGTGACCCCGAAGTTCAAATGTGCAAAGCAATATTTTAAAAACAGCATTTTATAAGAGAAATACTTTAGTTGTCACGTTTTAAACGAAAACAATGGAAAATTCTACCAGCGAACATATTGAAGCGGCAATTTCCATCAGTCTACCGAGGTACAACCACACCAACGTTCAAGTGTGGTTTGCGCAGTTAAACGCAATTTTTAATGCAAGAAAGGTCACGTCCCAACATGCCCGTTACGCTTTTGTAGTTGACAAACTTCCCTCAGATGTAGCATTAGAGGTAGCAGACCTCCTCAGTGAAGTGCCGGCGGAGAAACCGTATGATACTTTGAAAGATGCTATACTATACAGCACGGGCGAATCACAGGAACGTCGGTTGCACGATTTGTTTAACAACCTTCATTTGGGACACTATAAACCTTCCCAATTGCTTAGAAAGATGAAAGCTTTACTAGGTGACAATACCATGTCTGACACAGTCCTCCGTAAACTATGGATGGATAAACTGAGCCCACAAACATCACAAATGTTAGTGTCACTTCCGGACGATTTGGACCTACAGCGATTGGCAGAAATCGCGGACAAAATATATGAGAATAAACCTCCGGGAACTGCTTCTGCGACACCACTACAACCTATTGTCTCTTCAGTCCGTGACTCACAAGAGTTATCGAAAATTAAAGATTGTATAGCCGAGCTTACCTCACAGTTACAAACTCTACAAACCGCTATGCATCAGCAAAATCGCACACCCAACAATTTCACTAGTCGACCACGTCCATCACATCATATTAGGCGAAGATCACGTTCCACATCCAGAAGCAGGCCTATATATAATACCTGTTGGTATCATTTTAAATATGAACAACAAGCGCGGCATTGTACGAAACCGTGTAACTTCGACATAAACGCAGCTAAGGATAACAACACACAGCAGTCGGGAAACGACTATCTCGGCAACAAGTAGAGACGTTTGCTGCCGGAGGGATGGCAAAAAGTCGTCTCTTTTACATCCGAGATGAGAACTCCGGCTACTTGTTTTTAGTGGACACTGGGGCACAAATTAGTGTAATACCAGCCAAGCCTAATATGTTGACTAGAAAGACAAATTATACGTTACAAGCGGCGAATGGATCTTCAATCCAGACATATGGTGAAACCTTTAACCCTAAATCTGGGATTTAGGCGATCTTTTCCTTTGGGTATTCACGATAGCCCAAGTTCGAACCCCAATCCTAGGAGCGGATTTCCTCGCTCACTTTAACTTGTCCGTTAATATGTCTTCCCTTTCTTTGGAGGATAAAACGACCAACATTACAAGGAAAGGAATTACATCTATCTATACGAGCACATGTATCAGCGCAACTCTACCTGAAGCCAACGGAATGCAGGATCTGTTACAAAAATATTCTCAAATTACAACACCATTCCGGTATACAGAAACCGTTCGTCACAATGCTGAGCACCACATTGATACTACGGGCCCACCCACGCATTCATCTCCACGGCGATTGAGGCCTGATAAATATAAACTGGCGAAAGACGAGTTTCAGCACATGCTGGACCTCGGTATAATTAGACCTTCTTCGAGTCCTTACTCATCTCCTCTTCATATGGTTCCAAAACCGGACTCAGGAGCTTGGAGACCTTGTGGCGACTTCCGGAAGCTGAATGCTACTACAATTCCGGATAAATACCCCATCCCGCACTTGCACGATTTCGCAGTGGGTCTGCAGGGGCGCCACAGTCTTCACCAAACTTGATCTGGTGAAAGCATTCCACCAGATACCAGTGGCCAAGGAAGACATCCATAAAACAGCAATAACTACTCTTTTTGGCTTATACGAATTTGTCAGAGAATGCCATTTGGTTTAAGGAACGCTGCACAATCTTTCCAACGGCTTATAGACGAAGTGCTGAGAGGTTTACCTTTCACCTTTGCCTATACTGATGACGTCCTGATCGCCAGTAGAAACAAGACTGAACATCGTCACCACGTTGAACAAGTTTTCCAGCGTCTACAGCATTTTGGCCTTAAGATTAACGCAGAGAAATGTATTTTGCTGTGCCTCGCTTAAATTTTTGGGACACGTCATTGACGAAAAGGGAATAACGCCCTTATCTGAGAAAATAGAATCTATTTCAAATTTCTCACAACCAACTTCACTCCGGCAGTTACGCCGATTCTTAGGCCTCATTAATTACTACCGGAGGTTCATTCCTGGTAGTTCCCAGATTCTGATTCCCCTCACAGATTTACTGCAACAACAGCGTCAGAAGAACTCAAAGATTACCTTGGAAGGCGAATCACTGACTGCTTTTCACAGAGCCAAAGTCGCCCTTGCCAACTTTACGAAGTTATCATATATAACCGATGATGACTCAATGATCACACTGACAACAGACGCATCAGGCGACTCCATAGGGGCTGTGCTTCATCAGGAACAGGGAGATGCTAAAAAAACCTATTTCGTTCTTTTCAGTCAAGCTAAACTCATCTCAGAAAAAGTACAGCGCATTTTCAAGGGAATTACTGGCAATATACTTGGTAATCCGTCATTTCCGTCATCTTTTGGAAGGACGGAATTTTGTGGTCTATACAGATCATAAACCATTAATTTATGCTCTGCACGCCAAGTCGGACAAATATACCCCAAGGGATATCCGACAATTGGATTATATTTCCCAATATACGTCGGATATCCGCTATGTAAAAGGAGCTGACAATATAGTAGCTGATACCCTATCGCGATCAACGATACAGTCAATTGACGCACAGACCTTGAATTTCGACTCTTAGCGGAAGAACAAAAGACTGACACTACTTTGGAATCAGTAAAAGAAAAACGTCACTACAGTTAAAGCAACACCCTGTGCCATTTGGTAACACTACTGTCTATTGTGATGTAAGCACAGGATACTCTAGGCCCTATGTACCACCTTCTTTGCGAAAAAAAAAGTATTCGAACATTTCCATTCTCTGTCGCACCCTGGTCGAAGAGCGACTACTAAGATGATTAGTGATCGTTTCGTTTGTTAAAAATGTCCAGTGACATAAAACACTGGACACAGACTTGTTTAAAATGCCAGCAAACTAAAATACAACGGCATACCAAGTCTCCGCCTGGTACATTCTCTAAGCCTGATGGAAGGTTCACCCACATTCACGTTGACTTAGTGGGCCCTTTGCCCGACATTGATGGGTACCAATACTTATTAACAATAATCGATCGTTTCACTCGTTGGCCTGTAGCCGTTCCTTTAAAAAGTATTTCAGCGGAAACGATTTCCAGGTGCATTCTTAGAGAGTGGATCTCTATCTTTGGTTGTCCTTCAATAATAACCACTGATAGAGGTTCCCAGTTCAGTCAGTCCTTTTCAATGAATTTATAAACTTATTAGGCGTAAAGCACATTTCTACAACCGCCTACCATCCATGTGCAAACGGCCTTGTGGAACGATTTCATAGGCAAATTAAGGCAGCACTAGCAGCAAGTGATGACTCCAGGACTTGGCTGGAAAACCTACCACTGATTTTACTGTCATTAAGAAATGTAGTCAAAGAGGACTTAGGATGCACTACAGCAGAACTTGTTTTTGGGAGTACGCTAACACTCCTGGACAGTTCGTGGAAAAGCACACTCCTTCCAGACCGACTACCTATTTCGTCCAGGATTTTAAACAAAAATGGAAAACCTAGCTTTTTTACTCCAACGCGTGCCCAAACAAGGGAGTTCTTTATGCCGAAAAATTTAGACAGTTGTGATTACGTCTTCTTGCGAAAAGATGCAGTTAGAAGACCCTTAACCCCCACGTATTCTGGTCCACATAAAGTAATTAATAGAACGTCCAAGCATTTTACTTTACTTTTGCACGGAAAGCCTAACACAGTGTCAGTCGACCGGTTGAAACCGGCTTACATCGATTTATCTCATAAATCGCTTCCTGACCCTGAGCTAACATCTTCGACTCATCCAGCGCAGCTTGCACCTTCAGTACCACACGCGGAAGTTACTACTAAGTCTGGCAGACATGTTCATTGGCCTAGTAGATTTAAAACGTATATTACATATTGAGAAAATTTTCTCTCAAAAACTTTCACAATCTGGGGGGGGTCATTTTTTAAATCTTAAATTTTGTGCAAGTTAAACACATAGAGGCTCCCAGCCAAATATAACAACTGATGTATTTTGATTGGTTGTAAAATATTAATTAGGTGGCGTCAACTACGTCCGAAGGTACCGACCCAAATTTTGACCTCTAGTTGACGCCATAAAATGTAAACATGTTTACGAGCCTCCCCACGTGACCAAGAGAACTAATAAAAACGAAACTTCGACGCGACTTGGTCAGTGGGCACTTAAAATATTGAAACCAATTCACTTGACTTCATTGGAAATCAACACAGCAAAGGAGACGAACTTTATCCTCAATACAACAGCAAACTTTGTCAACCATCTCCAGGCTTAACGCTCACTCCCACAAAATATTCCATTCCACAAGAATCTCTGGTTAATGAGCGATAACAATCAGTGAGTCAAGAACAATACATTTTTTCTATTTAATACACAAAAAAACATCTGTTTAATCTTCCTACAAAAACAAATATAGCTAACTAAACCTTGTCATTTTCACACATACAGTACAGTAGCTCAAATTCTTTCAGTAACACACACACCAAAGAACTCTATTGGGTTTATCAACTTTTGCACTATTTGTTGTGTTAGTTTTTATTTCTATTTATAACCAATACAAATTGGCTGACCCAATATAACTTGTTGGAATTTCAAATCAAACGCTTTATTTAATTCACAGGAGTACATTGTTCTAATTCCATGTGTCATGCCTTTGGATATCTCAGTTTTAGTTAATTTCCCCTGATTTAGAAGTTTAGAATTGTTTTAGGAATCATTTTTCTCTCAAAGATAGTGTTAACTGCATATTTAGTAAGCTTAAAAGAGTCTGGCACAAGGTCATAAATGTAGCGCCAACACTAATATAATGCTCAAGGAAAAGAGTTGGCTAATTGTTTCTGTGACACTCTGAATGTCTGTAAGCCAAAGTATTGTCAGCAGTTGAATGATATTAGTCATACTAGATTTAATCAATTAAATTGTCACAAGTTATGCAGAATGGAAGACAGAAATAATGGTTCAACTAACCAAAAGTTTATTTATTACAGTATTGATTGGATACAAATACATTCACTGGAAACAAGTGGTGTCCAGTCTGTGTGGAAAACAGTTCATTGTAACTTTTTCATTACGACATTAGGAACTAAAAGAACAAAATGTTGCATATATATAACTGTTGATTTACAAGATATACTCTCTAAATTCCCTATTGAAAGATCACTTGTGTAGGAAATTCAGTCATCCATGTTTTTATATAAAAAATCTGAATGTCTAAATTACAAACAATAATAAAATAAAAATAAACAAAACATGTTAATAAATCATTTGTATTTGCAAACATATGGACATGAATTCAGAAGAGTTAAAAAGTATTAAAAATAGACTATAGTTGAGTTAAAGTCATTAGGTAGTTTGTATACACAAAAACTGTGGTTTAAGAAAGAAGTAATTGTTGGTTCACCATAAAAATATGTGGTTCTGAAGAGACTTTTATCATTAGTAAAAGATTCACTGACCATTTTTGCTGTTGTTTTGATGATTTGTTTAAAGTTGCTGACGCATGTTTCTTTCAGCACACGGTAGGGGAAGGAAAAACTATATAACCACTTCTTCTCTTGTGTGTGAATAGCCATATCTCTGGTATTGAAAGTTGAAATCTGTAGATTTTTATAACAAATTTTTCCTGAAAGTAGGCTTGAGAAAAATACAGTTTAATTTTCTCTAATTTGTCAAATATTTTGCATAGTGATGTTAATTTCTAATCAATAGGCACTTTGACTTAAATGATGTGTGTTTGCATTGTGGAATTTGTTTGGCATGTGTTATGTCGTGTATCCTCTAAGTTCTTATTCCACTTCCGTTCTCGTTGGTGTCCATTTATGAGCTACCTGCTCATATGCAAATTATACTAATTTGCATATCACTACATCTCCCTATAACGGAGGGGCCTTATGCCACGAGTACTTCTTGTACTTCTTCTTGTGCCCTCCTGAACATCTTCCTTTATCCCTCTCCTTTCCCTTGGAGATCTAGATCTATCACGTCTTTCCCTATAATCGAATTGTTCCTCTTGCATACTCTGGTCTTGCTCTTCTAACTCATCCCTCTCTACTTCTTCCTGCGCAGTTTCATTCTGCATTAACTCTTCTGATACATCAATAATGGGCATCTCTGAAGGCATTTCCTCATCAGATTCTTCTCCTTGGGATCTTATTTGGTCAGCATGAGCTAGAACACTGTTCCCATTTTCTTTATTTAATATTGCAGTATTATGTCCTTTCTGAATAATAAATTGGCTGACTCTGGTTGCATATTCCTATTTCTTTTTGTACCACATATTTTGATTTGTGGCATATGACATAGTCAAAGGGGCCTTAATTGTCTGCCCATTAAGGCAGATGGACTTTCCGGCCTGCCTGCATGTGGAATTGTTCTGTAACTTAATAGTAATCTTGGTAGGAAAGCATCGATTTCCTCCTTCTGTTGCAAGCATGCTTTTATGCCCTTCTTTACCGTCTGGACCATCCTTTCCGCTGCCCCATTACTTTGAGGGTGGTAGGGAGGGGTCTTATAAAGGTCTGCATCCTATTTTTCTTAGCCATTCATGCAAAT